AGCTGAGAAATCGGTTAAGAAAAGCAGAAGCAGGAAGGCAGAGTCCGACACGGATAAAGGAGACAAAAAGAACAATCTCACCAGGACCTAGAGTTGGGACCCGATGCTCGCCTGGAGCTCTCCAATCAGCAAACACCTTGCCCTGGATCAGACCATCACTGACAAGCTTGCGCAACTGATCCTCAGTTGTAGTCGGAGCCGGCCAGATCTTCTAAGCAGCCCTCATGGCCATGAATTCTTGATTTTCAATCACAGAAAGCTCCTCACCCACAAAGACTGCCTAGGACTTGCTCGCTGATTTCTTCCTACCCATATACTAGCGAAAGCAATAAAAGCACTAAGGAACGATGCTCAGACGGCGGCGCTCAGATGACGGTGACAATGGCGGCGGCGGAGTTTTGAAGACTAGGGTTTCAAGGCAAAAGCAGGGCAGTAAACAAAAAGAAGAAGAAAGGCCTATAAATAGATTTTTACAGCAATAGAAACGTGTCCCACTAGGCCAGTTTAAACACGGCATGAGAACGCAACGGTTCATTTCTCACCACGACTGACGCAGTTGAAATGACGGACGGCACAATTCTACACAACGGTACAGTTCAACGGGCAGATTTCATACTTATCCATCCAGCACCACGGCGGAGTTATCATATTGCTACAAAAAGAATTCATCAACCATGAAGCAACGAAGGGTTACCTCACAAGGAACACAAGAACCCGGTTCTTATATAAAGAACTCAGGAGTCTCATAAACAACCAGGACATCAGCAGAAAAGAGAATGACAACTCAGAAGACAAGATTATTTCCATTATAAATAGCTTCAAAAATTATAAGATTACACATCTTACAAGACCCAACGAACTCGGTACTACGACAAGCAAGGTAGCAAAAAGGAACCCGGACACAACTAGGCTCTGGAATGACTACGTGTTCCAAATTGCTACTAGGTAGAACAAACCACACTCGGCTACACTGTTTTCTTCAAATGAAGAACGTAGCACATCCAAGGTGGAGATCAGCAGCAAGACGGGACAACATGGACCAAGAGAAGCCTACAGGCATCTGTCTACCCAAGTCCGATGTGATACTGGATATGGTGTTGATCTGCATCGGACAGTCTCAGGGCAGGCGACGAGGATCAACCCAGAACTGCTGGATGAAGGAACATATCCCACATCACAAGACTTCCTCCAACTACCGCCACGTACTTCCCGGTACAATGCCGCTGCGGGATTAGTCTACCTCTAATCCCTATCACAAGACTTCCTCCAGCTACGATGAGATATACAAAAACTACAAAATACGCCCGGGGGTTGCTCTACTTCACAAACTATCATATTCATGACTACGAAGATTTTAGACCACGCAACAAAATGCTCGATGAATCAAACAGCACACCAAGAGGGTATTTATAGACCAAAGAAGCGGTGCACATGGACCGGGAGCACCAATGGAACAAACCTAACAAAGGACACAGTGAAAAGACAGAATTCAATGAAAGAGGACTCAGGCGTGAAGGAGCAGTACTCAAGAACGAGCATATTCGGAAGAATATACCAACACTGTACAACTCATGAACAAACAACATTTACTCTCAACCACCACCATACAACTACATCTGACAATAGCAGACTACCAAAGAACATGCCAAGATCCTGTATCCGAGTTCTTTTCGAATAAAAGAACCCAGGTATATGCTCGGGGGCTGCAATAGGAAAGGCTTTCAATCCTTTGAACAACTTAGATTCAAGACCCTCCAACTTTTTGTTCCAAATAGCAAGAGGCTCGGGGGCTACACTCAGTGAGTGCACTTTTTTCTTCAAAAAGCACACATCACTTAGAAGACTTCTTCAAGACAACAGTTTTCAAACAACATAAGATTCAAGACCCTCCAACTTTTTGTTCCAAATAGCAAGAGGCTCGGGGGCTACACTCACAAGAGGCTCGGGGGCTACACTCAACCACTTCAAGGCCTCACGACAAAAAGAACCCGGACCTAGCTATATTTGAGCTCTTTTTGATAAAGAACCCTGGTATATGCTCAGGAGCCCTTCGACGAAGAATCAGAGCGATTTCAAGAGAAGACCCTCCAGCTCCTTGTGCCAAATAGCAAGAGGCTTGGGAGCTACACCCAAATGGGAGTATTTTTTTCTTCAAAAAGGACACACCACGCGAAGATCTCACAAAGCGCTACACGGTTTCGCTCAAGAAAGCACTCGGACGACGCTTGTTCCTGCTCGGCAAGACCTGAAGGAACAAGACAAGGCTTCCAGAGCTCAACCATGAAGTGCTCGGGGGCTTGTCGGTGCGGGACCCATGGGATACCCCGCAAGGAAGAAGATCTAGTCTAACTAGGATTTTTTCCATGTAATCTTAGTAGTAGTATTATTCCGTAATTCTACTAGGAACTCTCATTGTAAACCGACTATGACTCTGGCCTCCTGACTATATAAAGGAGGGCAGGGTTCCTAGAGACGGGACTTTACGACACAATACTTCACAATCAATCTAACGCAAAGGCTAATGCCGACTGGACGTAGGGCTATTACTCGATCAACGATCGAGGGTCCGAATCAGGATAAATCGACTGTCTCTTGTGTTTACCGTCGAGTTCCGCATACGCTAAAGCCCGAACAAACTGCCCCGGGTACCCCCGTGGTAGGCTATCGGTGGTGAAACATCGACACGACCTAAACCTAAACAATTACCCAATTCTACATCCAAAGAGAGATACATGATATAGTCGTTTAATGGCATAGACTACCAAACCCTCTAATGTCTAGAAAGAAAAATGGCATATGAAATATTTTTTTTATATGTTAAAAAGATCCAAATTACCCCAACCATTCCCCATCTCTCTCCCCAGCCTCCCAACCTGGTCCCCACCACACAAAAAATGCCTGAGTTTGAAAACTCCTAAACAAAAACTTTAGTTCGATTACTCCCCAAACTATTTTATATGTAACCTAATAATAAATTGTGAAGTAATATCAAATATCATAAGTTATATTTTAAAAGTTAAATTATGAATTTTAATAATTATTTTGATATGTCACAACACCTAATAATGAATTGATCCTAGAGATACAAAGTCATGGAAAAACAATGAAAATAAAAAATGTAAGGTTAAGGTAATGTTGATTATAGAACCACATGGGAGCACATAACCTTAAAAGGCAAAGTTTTCACATCCATAAGTTAACATTTGTCTGCCTGCTAGCACCCCATGAAGTTAACATATGTATGTAAAAGAAAAAATAGACTAACTAAAATAGTTTAGAAGTTAAATCGAATCAAACCAAATTTGTTACTTTTATTCGCAATAGGTCAAACTCAGGATAGGGACTTTGCCTGAGTCCAAAAAACTCCTAAATAAAAATTTGAGTATGATTATTACTCCCACAAACTTTCAATTGGTCATATGTAATCTTTAGTGCATCTCATATAAGTTGACTTTGAAGTTAAAAAAATATAGGGCAGTAGCAAATATCTTTAAACAGGTAAAATGTGAAATTTAATCATTATTTTGATAGGTTACAAACACCTAATAATAAATAAATAAATTGATCTTAGAGATACAAAATCATGGAAAAAATAAACAAAAAGTTAAAATTGTGGAGTTGACATAAATCACGAGGTCCGCTATAGGTTAATAAAACTTTAACTTAAAAGTCAATTTTTACTGAAAGGGGGAAAAAGAGAAAAATAGGTTAATATATAGTAGGTCCTTTATTAACTTGGGATAATAAGGACTTTATATAAACAAGCAGTTTGACGATAGAGCAGAGAGATGAGTATTATTATTCTAAGATAAGAAGAGTGATGTCCGAGTCAGCGTCCTCAGACTGTTTCCAACAGGAAATTTATCTGGACATCTAAATCTAAAATGGGTAGTAAGAGATTCAAAATTAGCCTACAACTGAGTATCTATATGGGAGACCTATTTTGAGTTACCTGAGAGGCACAACCCAAATATGGACATCCTCTTTCCTGAAAACTCATTTGTTGAAAGGATTTTTTTTTAAATCTTGTTGTTGGAGAAAATGTCGAATATGTATTGAACTTTTGCATGTAGCACTACCCAAAGGACGAATATATCTTGTATTTTGGGTGTCGGTGTTGGGCCTACTTCTGCACACGTGGCAACGCGAATGCAAAATCTCGATCAAGCCGTGTAATCCGAGAGTAAACGGGCGCTGCGATTGGCTGGAGCCGTGGTTAATTAGGCGCCAATTGCTAGCATTATCAACAAGCCTTTCCATTCCATTCCTCCTCGTCCCTGTCTCACGGTCTCACCTCACGGCACGGGCTGCCAATATCCATCCAAAAGGAGGAGGAAGAGGAAGAGGCTAGCTGCTGTTGACATTCAAGACGTCAACGCCGAGGACTGAGGTAAGATGTTCCAATCCAATCTCATCTTTGCTTTGATTTGCCCTGCGTCATGGTTGTCAGGCTATTAGATCTGAGCTTCCTCCTCTGTTTCCAGGAGCAGATCCCTGTCTTTATTTTGCTATATATGTTTGCCTGATGCATGATACTAGTATGTATAGAGAAAAGTTTGGATTTTGATCCCGCGTCTCTATCGATTGAAATCTGTGGCCTTGTTTATCAGGAATCGAGAGTCAACAGAAGCTGTTAATTCTTAGGGTTGCCTGTAATAATAATTGGCTCAACTGTAATCATTGCAACAAAAAGCAATTGAAGGATGACTGGAGTTTTCAGTATTTCAAATGACAGTTCAACTTACCATACATTACACAAGCAAAGAAAACATCTTTGCAACTGAACAGTTTATCCATCCATGATATACCCACCAATTTGACCAACATGTGTAATGAAAAATGTATTGGTGATTAAATGGACCTTGTTCTAATAAACTCCTTTCCCTTTGTTTGTCACGCTGAAGCATTTTAAGCGGCACTGCCAGGTCAAGCTAAAGCCCCTTTCCTGCTGTTTTAAGAAATTATTAACTCTACTGGAAATTGTGTTCCCCAGTTGCCAAATGTCGGATGTGGACGAGTACCGTTGCTTCGTTGGAAGTCTTTCGTGGTCTACTACTGAAGCAGATCTGAAGGACGCATTTAGGAAATTCGGCCATCTTACTGAGGCAAAGGTATCAAATTGGTTTCTTTTATATGATGAATTGAGTGTGCATTTGTAAAGGGAAGCATAGTGCCATAGTTATATTATTGTAGACGAATGAATGAATGTAGTTTATTATGTAGTATTGGTTTATTCTACTCCAAGAACAGCAGACAATTTGCAATTTATTCTGCAAGTATTTGCCATATATACATGCCGTGATTTACCATTTTCTCCCTCTATTTTTGGTATGGTTGAACACGTTCCATTAGTATTCTTATTATGATGTTGTGTCAATCTGCAGGTGGTTCTTGATAAGTTTTCTGGTCGATCACGTGGATTTGGTTTCGTGACTTTTGATGACAAGAAGTCTATGGAAGAAGCAATTGAGGCAATGAACGGAATGGATCTGGATGGAAGGAACATCACTGTTGAAAGAGCTCAGGCTCAGAGTTCAGGCATCAGGGACCGTGATGGAGATCGAGACTATAGTCGTGGTGGTGGTGATCGTGACCGCTACCGTGGTGACTATAGCCGCGGTCGGGACCATGGTAGTCGTGATTTCGGTGGAGGCCGTGGCGGCGGAGGTGGTGATTGCTTCAAATGTGGCAAGCCTGGACATTTTGCAAGGGAATGCCCTTCTGATGATGGTGGCAGGGGGGATAGGTATGGTAGCAGGGACGACAAGTATGGTAGTAGCAATGGTAGTAGCCGCTATGGGCCTGGTCGTGGTGGTGATCGCTATTCTGGAAGCCGTGATGGAGGAAGCCGCAATGGTGGAGGCAGTGACCGATACAACCGTGACAAGTCTGGTCCTTATGAACGCCCCAGCCGAGGTGGATACAGATCTTGATGTTTGCAAGGCTGTGATCTCAGGTATGAAAGCTAATTTATGATTTAAAGTAAGTTGTATGTTTGCTTCATCATCACATAATGCAGCAAATGTTGCTGTAGTGTACTCTCATAAGAGCTTCAGCTGTGCTTGTTTTTACCAATCTTGTTGTCTGTATTTGGCTTGTAACTACTGGTTCCTCAGGAGCTTCTGTGGATTAACTAGTTTCTATCTGATTATTATCTGGGGACTGGGATCCATGTCTCTGTTGATCTAATGGTAAAAATCATGTCATGGTACTGGCCCTTGGTCCTGTTTGTTTGAATCGGTACGGATTCACTGGGGTGTTGGTACCAAGGATGTCGGGGAACAATCATGCTCAGTCTGATTGCGATCTTGAGGGAGAAAGCAGTATGCCGTGCTGGGGTACCATCTGCTTGTAAAACATGTTCATTCACGAATTATAAGAAGGAAAAAGAGGGTAAATTCTTGACTTTTGTTCACAGGATTGTTCGATTTTATTTTGCCTGTTAATAAGCAACGGTTCTCACATCAATTTTTCGCAGGCATTTGGCCTTTCTGTTCCTGTATATTGATCTGCATGGCTTAAATAATGTCTCTATTTGTCCATAATTCTGAGTGCTCTGTAACACTGTTGGACGGCGTTGATATGTTTCTAGCTCAGCTCTGTTAAGCGAGCATGACCCATCTACATTGAGAACCTGGAACAGGAGCTGTTCTGTGTGGAGCCTCACACATATCTAAAGCTTGCTGGAGATTCTTGATTTTTTTGAGTGACCACAGATGCATCCTTTTTTTTCTTCTTTTGTGCAAAATGACCTTTGTAGCTGGACGTTCCTGAACAGGGAACTGATCCTTTGGCAGCAAGAGTGTTGAGGGTCCTGATATTACTAGTAGAGTATGCACAGAGTGGCTGCAAAATACAGACTGTTGTTGACAGGTTTGAACCTTGCTATTTGGGATGTTCCCTGAATATCAATATATGGCCTGCTCCTGCTGGTTCATTTGACTATTATATTTGTATTATATGTTGTGTGTTTGATTTGTGTGTGGTTTGCATTGGCACTGAGTACAATTGTCAAATGTAAATGGATAGATGTCATCGCATTTGAAGCCTGCTACACACCAAGGCAGCGTTTAGTTCGGCCGATTCGGCGCCGGCCGAATCAAGGTAGTTACACTGTAGCTGCAGTGTCGCTTTGTTTTTATTTTGTAATAATTGTCCAATCGTTGACTAATTAGGTTCAAAACGTTCGTCTCGCAAAGTACAATCAAACTGTGTAATTAGTTTTTGATTTCATCAACATTTAGTACTCTATGCATGTACCGCAAGTTTGATATGACGGAGAATCTTCTTTTTGTATAATGCCAAATTCTGAAAAATGAGAGAACTAAGGGCATGTTTAGTTTCCAAAAAAATTTACGTAGTACCCATCACATCGAATTTTATGGCACATGCATGGAGTAATAAATGTAGCGAAAAAAAAAACTAATTACACAGTTGGGTGAGAAATCACAAGACGAAACTTTCGAACCTAATTAGTCTATAATTAGACACTAATTGACAAATACAAACAAAAATACTACTATAATCAAAACCTAAAAAATTTTGGATCTAAACGCCCCCTAAACATGGCCCAAATAAATAAATCAGTGCCGTCTCTCTCTCTCTTTTGCCTCAGTGCCACGTCATGCACCTCGCCGGCTGCCCCACTCCCAGCGTTGTCTCGGTGCATTTATCGTACACAGTAAATGAGTACTCACTCCATCCTAAAAATTTTGCAATTCTAGGACCTAGCACAGTTAAGGAGATATGTAAAATTACAATAATGCCCTCGTAAATTGTCAGTTCTTGCTCCCTGAGAAGCTTTCCGAGCTCTCTCATACTCTCACCTTTGGAGCTGTACCATCTGACACGGCCGGATTTTTTTTTTTTTTTTTGGCTTTTGTGGACGAGAAACGCCCACGCGGCAATGAAGTGCATTCAATTCTTACATGTGGGACCCATGTACCTATATTTAGCATTCTTTTTTAGAAAAAATTCAAACTCTAGGATTGCAATTTTTACGGGACGGATGGAGTACATGTTGGATGTGCTTAATTACATTTTGGGTTGGTGACTTTCACAGACACAAAATGGACTAATTATTATTATTATGAGTGGCCTAAGAAACAACAATATGATACTTTTGTGCTTTGCGTGATGGAAAAGAAAAAAAAAAGACCAAAAATTGTTTCAAAACTTCCGACCTGCCGGATTCGAACCAGCGACCTAAGGATTAATCTGCAGACACTACAGTCCTCCGCTCTACCAACTGAGCTAAGGTCGGTATTTGCTTAGACAGCTCTTCCATCTTTAAAATATACTACACTCCAGCATTAACTCCGATAACTTCATCTGCAAATGCACAAACAGCCCATACTGACACATATGCAGCGTCAACTCCGATACCTTCAGCTGCAAATGCCCAAACAGCTCATACTGACACATATGTACACCACCACGGCACCACATAAATCACACCAGCACCAGCATGCTGCTCCCATTGCTAAAACCACTTGTACTATAAGTTGTGTATAACCAAAAAAAAAAAACCTGGGGACCCCTTGCCCTGGGTGCGTATGTATTTTTCATCCCTCTGATTTCTTTTGCATCTTTGCTCTAGAACGACGACTGGGTCCCTTCGGTGCCTGTTAAAAACAACATATGCTCAGGGTTACTGTTATTGTATTAAATAAAAAAAGACATGGCAAGTGGATCTCAAGAAACAATAGCTCCAACTTTATCTGTTTATTATCATTACCATTCTCATATAATTTGCACGGGCATTATAGTGGCTTATACTACCTGAATATAGTGTAGAATATCTTGGAGTTCTATAATGATCTCTGCAAAAGTCGGACGCACATCAGGATCTTCATCCCAACACTGTCGAATCAGTTTGGTCAATCTTGGGTGCACGCTGGCCGGAATGTCCAAGCGCAATCCCTAAAGGAAGGTAACGAATGTGTATTAAGGAACAAAGAAGTTCAATTCAACAAGAATCTCCCAACAAATGCAGTGGATTACAGAAACCAGTTTCAGAATGCTGATTGCTATGTTTTACACGGTGATGTTGGTTTTATTGTCATACAAAAATGGCAGTAGTATATGTATTCATGATACGTTTACAAAACCAGCATCATCAATAAAGACATCTACCTAGAAAATGGGCTTAGCCTGTATTTGGGACAGAAATCCGTACCTGCCTTACTCCTAATGCAGCTTGCAAGGGTGTCATGTTGTCATATGGGACCTATGGTACAGTTAAGACTTCACGTTATCTTTAGTAAACAGAATACTAATGCTTAAACGACCTGGAAGTAATCTCAAGCTGCATTCGACACCAAGCCCTACCTTTGAAGTTGCAAGCTCCCAAAGAACAATGGCAAAGCTGAATACATCCGCTTTGTAGTCATACGGCTTATGATTAATTATCTGTCAAGACAACCAACTCTTGTGAGCACGCTATTCAAATACAATGTTCAAGGTATAAACTTTATTTAAGGTGGGCAAGAGGATTTGTTGTCTTTGGGAACAGAAATTCCTGAACCTGAGACAGAGATACAAAATAAACTTCATTTGTTTGCCTTGTTTCAGGGAAAAGGATGGGACACATCTGCTGAATATTAAACCATGCAACAAGTAAAATGAATTAAAGTGTACATGACTTAAAAAGGAAGTCAAGTCATTTAGGCCAATTTTGCAGGGTTTGGCAAGGAATTTAAAACAGCCTTCTACAGAGTCAAAGAGTCTAACAAAATGTCAAGCTAAATCATCTGTTCATCGAGACCAAACCTTACAGATGAAGAGGATTCTCTTGAGGAAACTTAAGAAGTTCACATGCAACTCTTGAATCAATACTTGCTGACCTTGCAGATAAGATAATAACTAAAACTAAAAGATTGGATAGAACTTTTGGCATATTTGGTAACAATTAGGAGTTTCTGTTAGATGAACAATGAAGTACAGGTCAGAATGAAAAGAATGAAACACTATACTAAAGAAAGACAAACCACTTCTCCAAGAGAGAAAGACTGCGTTGTATGTTAAAAAGGCATGAACTGGCCTTATCATTGTTGTTGCATACTATCGCAAGATTACAATCTCGTATTGACTGGCTAAGAGATGGGGACGCCAACACGGCCCTCTTCCACCTCCACGCCCGGCACTGGAAGAGAAAGAATTTCATTCCTAAGCTTGTGGCAAATGGCAATATCCTCACAAGACAGGAAGACAAGGAGCAGGCAGCTTTTGATTTCTACAACAGTTTGTTAGGAACCGCTGAACAGCGTGACATCTCAATTGACCTTGAACAGCTGGAGCTGCCGCCACAGGACCTTCAGGAGTTAGATGCCTTCTTTACCAAAGAAGAGGTGTGGGAAACGATCAAAGGTATGCCTTCCGACAAAGCCCCTGGCCCGGAAGGTTTTACCGGCCGTTTCTACAAGAGTTGTTGGCCCATCATCAAATCAGATATTATGGCGGCCCTGTTTGCAGTTCAGTGTGGCAATATTCAGAACTTGTGGATGCTCAACTCAGTATTTCACACCCTCATTCCAAAAAAGAAGGCAGCAGATCAGGTCAAGGACTTTCGGCCCATCAGCTTGATTCACAGCTTTGCTAAGTTGGTAACCAAGATTTTGGCCAATCGGCTGGCCCGTAAACTTCATGATTTAGTGGCCAACAATCAGAGCGTCTTTATCAAAGGAAGATGTATACAAGACAACTTTATGTTGGTATAGCAGACCGCCCGGTTCTTTCACCAACAAAAACTCCCTCGCATTCTTCTCAAGCTGGATATAACAAACGCTTTTGACTCCGTGAGCATCGGCCAGGTGGAGCTCAAGCCAGAATCCTTGTATACGGTCTAGATCACTGGCGAGAGGCCCCTGGCCCGTCCGCGGCGGCGATCCTGATCCCGATCGGGCGACCGCGTCTGCCTGCGCTCGCGCTCCGGGCTCCTCCGCGGAACCGGGCGGCGATCGCGCGGCGGATCCTCCTCCACCAACTCTTGACGCAGAGCCGCGGCCGTGGCGGCCGCGTTCCGAGCTGCTGCTGCTGCGGCCTCCGCGGCCTGCTGCGCCTGCGGCCTCTGTCGCGGCTAGACACTGTGCACGCTGCTCGGCGGTGGCGGCGGCGGCGGCGGCTGCTGCTCTCTCTGCGGAGGTGGCCATGCCTCTCCCTTTCTCTCAACCTGGAGCTCTGATACCAATTGTTGGCGTAGATCACCAAATCACAGGTAATTCGGCACAAGTAGAACTGGGGCTGCCAGAGGGCAGCTTGGCCAACAGGCCGCTTGGATTGTATTGAATTGCAATAACAACTTAGATACAAAAGATGCTAACCACTGCATATATAAGCAAGTGGTGTACCTACTCCTTAGCATATTCTAACTGCATAAAGCAGATGCTATGATTCCTACTTGGTTGCCAAGGCACCATGATCAACTTGGTTGTCAAGGAACCTGAAAATTACATGACAGTGAATAGTAAATAGCTATAGTAGGTAACTGGAAAACATGAACACTAGGCTAACTACTGACACTGGGCACTTCGGATGAGATGGTTATGGTTAGAAAAAACTCAGCTGGACAAACCATGGGCTGCCTTCCCTATTCAAGTGCAGGAGCCAGTCAAAGCTCTCTTTGCTGCAGCCATGAACACAATTGTGGGAGATGGAAATACCACTCTGTTCTGGACCGACAATTGGCTCCACAGATCGTCCCTTGCTGTCCTAGCTCCTCACATTTTCGCCCTGGTCCCGAAACGGCGACGGAATCGACGTAAAGTTAGTGAAGCGTTGCATGAGCTTCAATGGACTCACAACATCCGGGGTGCTCTCAGTGTCGCTGCTCTTGCCGAGTTCATAAAAATCGTGGACCTGCTGGAGGAAGTGCAGCTATTGTCGGGCGTCCCAGACAAGCATCAATGGAGATTCTCAGCTTCTGGACAATATTCGTCAAAAATCGGCTTATGAGACCACCTTCATTGGAGCAGTACATTTTGAACCATGGGAACTCATCTGGAAGAGCTGGGCGCCTAAGAAATGCCAATTCTTTATCTGGTTGGTGGTTCACAAACGTTGCTAGATGGCAGACAGACTAGCGAGAAGATGACTACCCCACCCAACCTGCAGTGTGCTCTGCGATCAAGTCGAGGAGGACATCCAGCACATCCTCATTGGCTGTGTTTTCGCTAAACAAGTGTGGTTTCAAATGCTCAGTAAAGTGGGACTCTCAGTTCTAGCCCCTCAAGCTGCGGACACTTCATTTGAGGATTGGTGGATCAAGGTAGACAAGCTGGCGCCTACAGTCTTCAGAAAGGGAATCAATTCCCTGATTATTTTGGGAGCATGGATGATTTGGAAGCAGCGAAACGATTGTGTATTCAACGGGGTGTCGACAAACGTGCAGAGAATCCTAACACACATCGAAGAGGAAGCGCATCTGTGGTGTTTAGCTGGAGCAAGGGAGCTTGCACGGCTCCTTGTAGCAAACGGTTAAGCCCATCACCATTGTTAGTAGTTGGTTGTGTTTTATTTTGACAGGCGCGAATGTAACTGAAAGTTAAGGGGTGTATGGGTGGTGTGCGTGTTATATTTTACAACTCTTCTTAATGAAATGATACGCAGCTCTCCTGCGTATTCGAGACAAAAAGAAACAAGATCTCAACCATACCTCTGGTGCCATCCATCGGTAGGTTCCAGTTTCAGCAGTCATCTGCCCCTCCTGACTTCCAAGTCGCGCCACACCAAAGTCTGCGATCTTTACAACCTATTTCCAAAAGCAGATGTACAAGTTAACAGCTTGGCAGGTCAGATGAATCCAATGGAAAAAAACAAACATTTACCAAGCTCTGACATCAACACAGCTAAATTCTATAATATATTGATAGAGAAACTGAAGATGAGATATTACGAGAATCGTATTGTTTTTTCTAAATGTAATTACATGCTCTTTAAGTTGCTGGGGCTTATTTATCTGTATAGTATATATATTGAGGAACTTACAAAGGATTTCTTGGAAATTAAAATGATATCCATTGAACATGCTATTTATCATGCAATTGCTAGTCTGCCAGAAGTGGATTCTAATATGTATCACCTTTAGGCATTTAAAGCAAAGATATTATACAACAGAAGTCCCGTCTGAGTACCTACCTAAAACCAAGTTGAGTATTATGCGAATTACTGGCTTTCCTTTATGGACTTTCCAGATTTTGTAAAGAGAATTGGAAAGGAGGAAGAGAATGGGCACTAATGATGATTAGCTTCAAAATACTAAATAAGTGTGCATACTTGGTCAAAGCCTAGGAGAAGATTTGCAGACTTCAAATCTCTGTGTATAATGTTATGCTGGTGCAGATAATCCATTCCTTTTGAGATATCGATAGCAAATCTTAGAATTTTATGGAGTTCCAAGAAGTTATTTTGCTTGTGAAGAAAGTCGTATATATTCCCTCCAGGCATGTATTCTGAAAGGAACAGAACCAATGACAAAAGAGAAAGGTGAGGTCATAGCTGCATTTGCAGCTGAGCTACCGGAACACAAAAATATCGACATTAATGAATAAGAGATGCATAATAGACAAATGGGAAACACCAAAATTGCTTAGCTCACTCTCAAAACTTGTTCTTTTTCACAGAAGACTCACAAACATTGAGTAAGAGTTTAAGGCATAAGCATCATTCATGATATTGCACTTGGAACAGGAAAACAAACATTAATGTCACTTGGATGGAATCAACTAGTGAATGCATAGAAATAATATCTAGACCTAGAAAGAGAACAGTGGGATATTTGCTAGGTGGTTGGATATCACAGATCACTACTACTTAATTCAGGCAGTTCCAAAGAAAAAGATCAAATCTTTGCTAGGTTATACACTCATCACCATTCTTAGTAATGCTGATGCAGCCCCTCTGTTGCTACCTTTTGTGACTATCGGTATCATAGACAAATATTTTTCCCATAACATTCTCTTACTCTTTCCTTGACATGTTTGACCACAGTGGTTCCAGTGCACCAGGGAACCGTATACACAGCATTGCTGCCTACAGCCCTACACCACCAACAATCTCGACAAAGAAGAGGAACAGAGAAGTAGATGGGAGAGGAAAAAGCGACACCACGAAGCTACATCACCAACTAAATAGACCATGGGCTGTTAATGGCTAAGGGACTCAATGATTTGTTCTTTGTTATGTTCCCTAATAGGTAAGTGAAAGATTACAAGTTTATCACCGTTTACATTCCAAAGTGTGTATGCAGGTTGCGGGGTGATATTACCATTTATTCATGGCTCACGTGTACACAAGAATAATATCACCATGAGTTTGCAGCAATGGTTAAGAGTCAATAATCCAATCCCAGCCAAATAACAAAAAAAATAAAAATTAACAGGTGATCATACCTGTTACAATGCAATAGTTTGGATGCTTTGTGCATGCCCCATAAAATTGCAGAATATTTTCATGGTTAACACCCCTGGAGAGAAAATATCTAGAATTAGTTGGAACAAAATGGAACTGATTTATTCAGTTATTATGTACAGTGAAAGCTTGCCTTAGAATAAGTACTTCCTGCAGGAACTCAACTTGTGAAGGATTGCTGAGATTTGCAGATCTGAGACACTTTATAGCAACATCACGGCCTTTATAAGTTCCTCGATATCTGTGAACAACAACATCAGTGATAAGCATTGGAGATTGGACAGTAAACTATTGTATGACATTGTCTATGGAAGCAAAACATAGGTTAATACACATGACAAGTTGTCAGCTGGCTTAATGACAATCTACTAATTAAAAATAGTTTATTTCATTTTCAGCAGATGGCAAGCAGCATCTGTAGATATTTATAGAGAGAATAGGCTGGCACAAAAGGAAGGTTAGGATTGAAGTGGCAAAGTGGGCACCACATTTCAAAATTCAAATAAGTGAATTTTAAGGTAATGATATTTCTGGGAACATTTACGCATCAAAATAGTGCTTACAAATCTGCAGACGATCCAGATGCTATCTTATCATCCCTTGTTAGCATGCTTAAGTCAATTTCACAATCTCCAACCTTTTGTTGTAGGTCAACTATTCTCTCCGATGTCGAAGAATTTGTTGAATTAGATGGTGATGCCTGCGTATTACATGGAGATAATTTAACTCTTTAGAAAAATGTTAACAATGAAATGCTGGCTAATATCAGGGTTTTGTGCATAACGCCGCATTTGCTGTGACCAATGACACAGGACAAGGGTGAAGATGTCTTATTCATGACTTAATCCTTAATCATAAACTAGAATTACTGAAGTATGTTCAAAATAGTAGTGTGTCGTACATTTTTTTGTGTTAATGTCTCCTTAATCGCCGCGATCAGCTCATCAGTCTCCTGCATGAATAATTGCAGAATGAGAGTCCTTTTCCAGACAACCCTTGCATAGTTGCATAGTACATGAGAGTATAACTACAGATTAGATGGTTCACTCTGTCTATTAAAAATGTAAGTTGGTGTTCATTGATTTACATCAACACAATCCTTTAAATAATTTTGGGCCCATATAGTCAAATTTCAGATACAGAACAGAAATGATATAATAATTTCAAAAGTCCACAGCAGTAAGCATATGTGCACGTTTAAATTTACCTCTGTCTTCCAGCCATCAACAACAAAAACGTCCAAACAAAAACCATCCTTTGTGGAGTAAACATGAGCTTCCTGGATATTCAGTCCAACCTCAGAGAGCAAGGCAGTTAGCTGTTGAACCACCATTTGCCGTGAGAAAATTAGAACCAGACAAGAAGAGCAGGCTACATGGAAATGACCAGTACGTGAACTGACAAGGTACTTGGCATTACCCGACTTAGGAGCTTGGGCCTGTCGATGGAGGAGAAAATGATCTCATGAAGAAGGACAGTTTTCAAGTCGTCCCTGGACAACATTGAGTGACAAATTTTATTAAGAAAACATTAACACAATCATTTCTATCTAAATCCTGTGTACTAAGAAAATTGAAAGGAATGAAAGAAAGGAAGGAAGGCAGCACTTTCTGAGCGAATCCAATTATTGCTAGAAGACGAAGCCAGCATAGGCATTGGGAGCGGATAAAGGGAACAAGCACTACCTAGTCTTAGAGGAGATAGACATGGAATCATTTCTGTCCACAGTCTTTCTTCTTTCCAAACTGAGCTCCTCCAACAACTTTTGATACGGCTCCTCATGATCTTGACTATGGCCAATGCCGTCATCCTCCATGGGAACTGTCTTATACTGCTCATCAATCAAGGTAAGCAGAGCATTAGCAACACAGCACAACGAATCAATCATCCTCTTTTCTTTTCTTTTTTTCTTTGCCGCTTCGGAATAACCCCGTTGCCTTGCTTAATCGATGCTCTCTCTGTGTGTCTTTTTTTTATATACTTCATTCATTTTCATCAGACGGGAGGAAAAAAAAAAGAGTGGACCTTTAGGAACCGCGCGTGAAAGACGGGTCGCTTGTTGGGGTCGGCGCACTCGTCGAGGATCCTCCAGTGCAGCAGGACATCGTCCACCTTGTCTTTGAGGTCGAGGTCGAGGAGGTACCTCCGCGGCAACCTCTCGAGGTGGCGGGCGAAGCGGGCGTTGAAGGTGGGGTCTGCGAGCGTACGGTCGTGCCGCCCCGTCTGGCGGAGGCGCTCGCAGATCTTCCTCTGCACCTCGTGGAGGTCGGGGTTGAACGCACGTGGCGACCGAGGAGGTGGGGAGCTCTCGCCTGTGCCCTCCTCCAAGTTCTGCTGGTCCTCCCCAACATGCGGCGGCCGTGCCGGCAGAGCCATCTGAGTATTTCGAACCTCTTGTTGCGGTGGCGGGTGCGGCAGGCGGAGGATGCGTGCGTGCGTCGAGCCGGCCGGCCGGTTCGGGGCACCCTAGGCTAGTATTTATAGAGGGGCTCCGGCCGGCCGGCGGAGTGAGCGCCGATGGATTGGAGAAGACGACGATGACGATTGTCATGGAGAGAATGGACGCTGACCGGGCCAAGTATCAGTTATCCCTCCATCCAAATTGTAACACGTTTGATATTTTTGCCCTAAATTTGATCACTTGTTTTATTCAAAAAATTTATGCAAATATAATCAAATTTAAGTTATTCTTGAAGAATTTTTATTAATAAACCAAACCACGACGAAAGAGGTAATATTTTACATAAATTTTTGAATAAGACGAGTGGTCAAACTTGGTGTAAAAAAAAATCAAATCTTACAATTTGTGATGGATTGAGTACACGTGAAGGAACCGAACTAATTCAAACACATATTTAGATTAAATATTATTACTTCTTGCAATTAAATTATGTTTTGAGTTGGCATACACACTAAACTAAAGATTGTAAATTTTGGCTATTCATTTTTATATATATATAGCACATACGGAAACATTTATGTATCTGCAGCGTGATGTAAGTACTCTTGCTCCTATTAGCATAGATAAATAAGAGCAACTCGAGTAGAAGTCCTTAATTAAGGGCTCCTATTTTTTACTTTTGAAGGCATTATTTCTTTTTTTGTCTACTCCACAGTCTCCAAATCAGGATCCTCAAATATATTCTAGTAGACTCTAGCATACGGAACACAGTCGTCATTCGGTCATATCCACCATCGTTCCAATCGACTGAGGTATGGGGGCGAGGGCGAGGAGCACGCACAGGAGAGAGGAGCCACGCTAAGCCCAGGGTTCGCTGAGGGAGGCGCATTGGGGAGGGGAATCGGGCATTGTGCGCAGAAGTGAGTCGGGATGAAAAAAATTAAAGACGTGCAGCAATGAGTCAACACGGGGAAAATTCCTAGGAAGAAGTAGGGAGGGTCCTACATGCTCCTAGAGTCCTAGAAGATGACTGAGATGGAAGATCTAGGGGGCCTTCGTAAAGTAGTGACCCGAGTTGTGGTCCTATTAAGTTAAGTCTTTATTTACTCTGGCACTAAAAATATAAACTAGGGTCTTGTTTAGGTCCATTTTTGAGATGTTCTAAGAGCGAGATGTCTATGCTAAATTTGTTAGGGAAAAAAACTAGTTTCAAATGTTCAAAATCAGACACTTGGATGCTCACGGCACCAAATGAAAATGCCTAAGGGTCTATTTGGTTCCCAGGGATCCACCCAGGGAATGGATCCCTGGAACAATTCCAACCTAGAATGTTGTGCTAATTTATACTGTCTTTGATCACCTGGAATGATTCCTGGTGGATTTGATCACCTGGAATGATTCCTGGTGGAATTAGGAAGAAACAAACGAGCCCTAAGAGTAAAGCAAACAAGCTCTTAATATGAGCACCCATCTTGAGTAGAGACTTCGACCCAGGAGAGTATATTTGGCCATAAGAAGCCTAACCACCTTAGCTGCTCTTAGTTTGCAAATGAGAAATTTTCACGTAAGTGGTTTTTGAGATTATTCTACATTCTCAAGTCTTAGTACTCTCAAAATGCATTTTTATTACACTAAATTTGTAAATGTATCATTATCATATTCAAATCTTCAGAACTCATTCCGTGCGTCATGCTAACTATGTGGTGACGTGGCCCTGACACATGGGACTGATATGTAAATTTCAATAATGATCCTTGAATTTGTCCCACATATTATCCAGGTCTTGTACTTTCAAAATGCATTATTGGTACTCTTCGAAAAAAAGAAGACATCATTACTTAACCACAAACATCAAATAAATATGGCATGACAAGTTGACAGAGTCATCATTCAAAATGCTTTATTTATTTTATAAAAAGAACGTTTTCATAAATTCCAGTGATGTAAAAAGGAAACGTAAAGTAAAGGTAAACCGGCAATCAAAGTTACACCACCTCGAAATAAAGACGGTAAAAATGTTGCAAAGGTACGATAGAGACAAGGGACGACGGAGTACAATAGACGTGCACTATGACTCATGTGTGATTGTTGTTTATTTGTATAATATAATAAACAAAAGTTGAGTGACAGCGTTGTTTTGTGTAAATTAAGCTGTTGTGTGAGTGTACGCTTGTGCACAAACAAAAAATTAGAATAATGACGTGTGCGTCAGTGGAAGGAGCACTAGCTAGCTAGTTTCAAGAGATACGCATCGAATGCAACTGGATCAGTTTAATTTCAGGACCAGTATGCAAAATATTTAGCATTTGGCCAGTTATCTAGCTACCCCTAATTTTGAAAGTACACGAACCGCATTTCTTCTCTTTGTGATTGCAAAAACTGTCATGTATATGCTATGCATATGTAATCACAAATAATGAATTTGATAAAAAATTCACAAATAATGAAAACTTGTTTGAGAAAAAATAATCACAAATAATTAATGAACACTTGTTTGAGAAAAAAAATCGTGTAAATGTTACTGCAAAACAAAAGGCAGCAACAAAAGTGACTTGCGGTTGCCGCCGTCTTCGATTCGTCTAGTATTATTTTATATGAGAAGGCAGTTAATAAGCTAGAAATGGATTATTATTCAGACCAAATCATCAGCCTGCATGCACTACTTTTTAATGAAAATATATATGGTGGTTAATTTGTTGCAGAGATTGTAGTATTAATAATTTGCTTAACTAGCGTTGAAGGTTACACGTACGAACGGACGTGTACGTGCGTGCGCTTCTATCGTAATCCCTCTCTTTCTGAATAAATAATTTTTAGAGTTATCATAAATCAAACTTTTTAAACTTTGACTAAATTTCTAGAAAAAACATTAAGATTTATGATATCAAATTAGTATCATTAGATTTATCATAAAATATATTTTGATAATATGCTAATTTTATGTCATAGATGTTACTACTTTTTCTATAAAGCTAATCAAACTTAAATTTTTTTTTGACTGACACTTATTATAGGAATTGATTTATTTAGGAACAGAGAGTATTCTAGGAATTGATTTATTTGGAAACGGAGAGAGTATCTGTGCAACGCAACAGCACTCCTAAAAAAATAAAGGTGGTTTACAGCACTTGACAACACGTAGTACAGTAAGATGATGGAGGTGCCATATATACAGAACCAAACAACTTCATTGACAATGTCATTTTGCTTGGTGCGTGCAGCTGGACGTACAGCGCCGGCCGGCTAGGAGCCAAGGTCCATGAGACCGTACCATGACTACAACAAACTTTTACAACCATTATATAGGTTTGCAAAATAGGCACTCCTATAAATAGATGAGTTTCTAATAACACAAATATATGGAGAGCATGGTATATGATCATTCATAGATGACTGTTGACCTGTTTGGTTGCATTATATCCCACCCTTGTGTGGCACCAGAATTTGTCCGTGGCCAAATCGGAGCGAGCATGACCAAAATTTAGGTACAATGGTGATGTTTTGTATTGCACCCATGTCGAAATCTAAACCTAGGCATATAATAGGAATGATATTATGCATGGCATGTGGGTCCCACATATAATTATGGTTTTTAGCACCAAACATATTCAAAGTTTAATCTTGGTACACTGATTTGCCAAAGGGCGCCTAGCTCAAACGGTTAGGTGACCCAGCGGTACTCTTTAGGTCCTGGGTTCGACTCTTTGTGGGAGCGAATTTCAGGTTGATGTTAAAAAAATCCCCTCGTCCGTCCCCATAATCAAAGCACTTGGGGGCACCGGCCCAATTCTCACTTGGACGACGGAAAGCCACCATGTAAGGGTGGGGACGGGGGTTCGGGGGTTTTCTCGGCCGGGTGATAAAGTCCTTCTTCTTATTTGTAATGCTGCGGGGCAGTCTTAACCCCCCGTCGAGTTTTGGTACACTGATTTAATTAATTGCAAGGGTTAAGATGGTGCAAGAGGATTATAATTTGCAACCACGGTTCAACAAATATTTTTGCTGGAAGCTGGATTAATAGACATTTGATGCATGACTCGTGTCCTATCTCTCCTTGTGCCACATGGTACCTCTTTGCGTCGCTAGCTTAGGCATCTCAAGCGAGCACTTCACCCTAGGCCCTCTTTGGTGTGGCTCACAATGGTTGTTGCTGGCTATCCAGGAGTAAAAATACTGTTCCAGCTGAAAATTTACGATCCTTTACGAGATCCATCAGCCAACCGAACAAGCTAAAACTCGGTGGTGCCCCCTTCTCTCTCTCTCTCCCTCCCCCATGTGGATGCGCCCCTGCCTCTCTGAAACCATACCCGAGAGGCGGCCGGGCACCTCATTATTCAAAATCTGTTTTGGCCGTATCTGTTAATAGCTTCTATAGTATTCAGCCTGTTTGGAAGACCGTATCGTATCGTGGATTATTTACTGCTGGCTGGTTTGGTGTGAGAGAAAAACACTGTTCCCGGCTGGAAATTTACGATCGTTTACGAACAAGCGAACAGGCTGATTGATGCTTGCCCAGTACTATAATTATACGATAGTAAATAACTAGCTCCAACTGATCCAAACATGTCTTTAACTTATAATTATAACAAAGCTAGAATGATGATTCTTGTGGAATGGATGGAGGACTAAACTATATAGTGATATGTACGACCTAGTAGATAGTCGTTGATGATCATTTAGCCATAAACAAACATGTCAAAAGCATAGCAAGGTGATTAGTGAGCCTCATTAGGCCTTAGTGATGGAGGTTATTTTGTGTACGAAGGCACAGCGGCCGCGTCAGCATTCATTACTACTGGAGATCGGAGAGGATCTGACTTGTCCATTCATGGTCTGTCGAATGGAACCATGGATGACTTGTCCATTCATGGTCCGATTGTTAACCGGTGGACACGGCGACGGTCATAATAATTAATAAAGTACTCCTTCATTTCTCATGATATATGAGCGTCTACGTTTATATTACTGTAAATCG